GGTGCAAGTAGCTGGTCTTGTCTTGCCTACTGCGCAAAATAGTCTAGCGCCGGCCCTGCTTGGGGGGTCTATGCATTGTTGGATCTGAGACTTCCTGTACATCCGTATGGCTCCGCCGCCCCCCCCGCCGGGTGACAACAGGTGGACCTCCGTTCCCACAACATAGGTTCCGTATTATATCCTGGGGTCTGTCTGCACTTTGCCTTGACCGCAGAGCTGACATTCCTGCCTAGGAATAAAGCTGCTCAGTAAGCAGGTAGGAGGCCTCCTCCCAGGCTCCGGGCGGTACAATATACATATAATTTACATTTATTGGCGCTCATAAATCAGTGTGAACAGCGCCAATAAAACCCGATTGCTGGTTACTCGTTCTCCGATAGAAATAGACGTTTTATGACGTGTCAGGACAGAAGCCGCCAACTCTTCATTCCAGGTCACAGCCCCCCCGCCGCCCGCCTGTCTGAGGGCTACAGAGGAGTGATATTCAGCATCGTCTTATGGGGGTCCCAAAAAGGCAGACTGAAGGATGGGGGAGGGGGGGACCATCTTCTTCATTGAGGAGATCTGCTCAGCTTTGTGTCCATCTAGAACACGTGTGTATAGCCCGTGTGGAGTCGGCATAGCCCACCATAGACCCCACAAAGCCCACCTGAGAGTCGGCATAGCCCACCATAGAACCTGCACAGCCACCTGAGAGTCTGCATCGCCCACCATAGAACCTGCACAGCCACCTGAGAGTCTGCATCGCCCACCATAGAACCTGCACAGCCACCTGAGAGTCTGCATCGCCCACCATAGAACCTGCACAGCCACCTGAGAGTCTGCATCGCCCACCATAGAACCTGCACAGCCACCTGAGAGTCTGCATCGCCCACCATAGAACCTGCACAGCCACCTGAGAGTCTGCATCGCCCACCATAGAACCTGCACAGCCACCTGAGAGTCTGCATCGCCCACCATAGAACCTGCACAGCCACCTGAGAGTCTGCATCGCCCACCATAGAACCTGCACAGCCACCTGAGAGTCTGCATCGCCCACCATAGAACCTGCACAGCCACCTGAGAGTCTGCATCGCCCACCATAGAACCTGCACAGCCACCTGAGAGTCTGCATCGCCCACCATAGAACCTGCACAGCCACCTGAGAGTCTGCATCGCCCACCATAGAACCTGCACAGCCACCTGAGAGTCTGCATCGCCCACCATAGAACCTGCACAGCCACCTGAGAGTCTGCATCGCCCACCATAGAACCTGCACAGCCACCTGAGAGTCTGCATCGCCCACCATAGAACCTGCACAGCCACCTGAGAGTCTGCATCGCCCACCATAGAACCTGCACAGCCACCTGAGAGTCTGCATCGCCCACCATAGAACCTGCACAGCCACCTGAGAGTCTGCATCGCCCACCATAGAACCTGCACAGCCACCTGAGAGTCTGCATCGCCCACCATAGAACCTGCACAGCCACCTGAGAGTCTGCATCGCCCACCATAGAACCTGCACAGCCACCTGAGAGTCTGCATCGCCCACCATAGAACCTGCACAGCCACCTGAGAGTCTGCATCGCCCACCATAGAACCTGCACAGCCACCTGAGAGTCTGCATCGCCCACCATAGAACCTGCACAGCCACCTGAGAGTCTGCATCGCCCACCATAGAACCTGCACAGCCACCTGAGAGTCTGCATCGCCCACCATAGAACCTGCACAGCCACCTGAGAGTCTGCATCGCCCACCATAGAACCTGCACAGCCACCTGAGAGTCTGCATCGCCCACCATAGAACCTGCACAGCCACCTGAGAGTCTGCATCGCCCACCATAGAACCTGCACAGCCACCTGAGAGTCTGCATCGCCCACCATAGAACCTGCACAGCCACCTGAGAGTCTGCATCGCCCACCATAGAACCTGCACAGCCACCTGAGAGTCTGCATCGCCCACCATAGAACCTGCACAGCCACCTGAGAGTCTGCATCGCCCACCATAGAACCTGCACAGCCACCTGAGAGTCTGCATCGCCCACCATAGAACCTGCACAGCCACCTGAGAGTCTGCATCGCCCACCATAGAACCTGCACAGCCACCTGAGAGTCTGCATCGCCCACCATAGAACCTGCACAGCCACCTGAGAGTCTGCATCGCCCACCATAGAACCTGCACAGCCACCTGAGAGTCTGCATCGCCCACCATAGAACCTGCACAGCCACCTGAGAGTCTGCATCGCCCACCATAGAACCTGCACAGCCACCTGAGAGTCTGCATCGCCCACCATAGAACCTGCACAGCCACCTGAGAGTCTGCATCGCCCACCATAGAACCTGCACAGCCACCTGAGAGTCTGCATCGCCCACCATAGAACCTGCACAGCCACCTGAGAGTCTGCATCGCCCACCATAGAACCTGCACAGCCACCTGAGAGTCTGCATCGCCCACCATAGAACCTGCACAGCCACCTGAGAGTCTGCATCGCCCACCATAGAACCTGCACAGCCACCTGAGAGTCTGCATCGCCCACCATAGAACCTGCACAGCCACCTGAGAGTCTGCATCGCCCACCATAGAACCTGCACAGCCACCTGAGAGTCTGCATCGCCCACCATAGAACCTGCACAGCCACCTGAGAGTCTGCATCGCCCACCATAGAACCTGCACAGCCACCTGAGAGTCTGCATCGCCCACCATAGAACCTGCACAGCCACCTGAGAGTCTGCATCGCCCACCATAGAACCTGCACAGCCACCTGAGAGTCTGCATCGCCCACCATAGAACCTGCACAGCCACCTGAGAGTCTGCATCGCCCACCATAGAACCTGCACAGCCACCTGAGAGTCTGCATCGCCCACCATAGAACCTGCACAGCCACCTGAGAGTCTGCATCGCCCACCATAGAACCTGCACAGCCACCTGAGAGTCCGCATAGCCCACCATAGCTCCCGCACAGCCTCCTGAGAGTCGGCACTATTACACTGATTGACGTTATTTGTCCTTGCAGAGCTCGTTATGACGCAATCCGGTGATAATGGGATGCGGAGACAATCATTTCATATGACAACTAGACACATTTATAAACCGGCTCTTTGAGGGCAACCATAATGCTAACGCCGCCTGCGATGAAATTGATACC